TGTCAATGTTTTTCTTCACCTGTCCTATTTTTATACTTTGTTCTTCATCATTTGATTTCTATTAAAACGGATATTTTTCTTTTTCTAATGCATCAACATAGAATATTAAAATTCTAAGACGGATTTACTTAGTTTTATGTCAAATTAATTTCATACAGATAAGATTTATCTTCTCAGATATTTCATAAATGAAAAAATATGTATTTAAAACAAAATAATGAAATATCATTTTAATTATTTCATTAGATGAAATTCAATGTAACAATAGAAGGATAATGTTAACAATGTAGTTCACGTAGACTATATTATAAGTAACGATAAGCAACATATAACAAACAGAATCTTCTTGACTTTTTTGTTTTGCATATAAGGAAATGTTTTTTTCAGGCTTCAGATATCGATTCAATGTTTATTGACAGTGTTTAGGATCATCAGTAATTCCTAAGATATAATCTCAGATATATATAGAATATGATTAACATATTAATGATATACAATATATTTTTCTCAACAAAATAATCTATGAACACTTTATTTTTTTTTTGTTCAGATCACATTGGAACATAAGAGTTACGAAGTAAAGAAATTCTAAAGATTACGCATTAAAAAAAACCAAAAAATAAATATGAGTAATATCGTTACACGAGTACTTGAAACTAATATTTATATACAACCTATACATTTTCTTTTGGCCATTATTACAAATGTATTTAATATACGTATATTATGTTGTCGTGTACTTCTTTCATCACCATGTACATATTATTTTCTTGTCTATGCTATATTAAGTATTATATATACTTGTTTATTGTGTCCAATACAATTTGTTCGTGGTTTTTCTATTAATTGGATAAATGGAAAAGTAACTTGTAAAATGCATGCTTATCTTTTATTTATATTACCACTTCAAGGTAATATTATGCTTATATTAGCTTCATTAGATCGTTATTGTTCAAGTTTAAAATTGCGTCGACTTCAATCAACAAATGCTAGTCGAATAGCACGAAGAAATATTTTATTTAGTACTCTATTTTCTTTATTCTATATGTTACCAATGTTATTTATTTATAATTGGGATGATAATTTAAGAAAATGTTCATCAAAATTGCATTATGCAATTAATATTTATATACTTAGTCAAGTTATTATTTATTATATATTATTTCCATTAATAATGATTTTATTTGGTATTTTAACAATTTATAATATTCGTCAAAAATCAAATCGTATAATATTATTTATTTCATGGATGCGACGACGTCGTCGTACAGAATGTCAATTAGCTCGAATGTTAATTCTTCAAGTTGTTGTTCATCTTATTTTTGTACTTCCATTCGGAATTATTTATAGTATCAATTCCATTGTACCATCTACACAAACGCCTACTATTCTAGCCATACGTTTAATTTTTGTATCATGGCAACAATGTGATCATTTTATATCATTTTTTCTCTATATTCTTACTGCAAGTGTTTATCGACAACGATTTATTCGATTATTACAATCTATGAATTGTTTGAATAGAAGAGAGCAATAGTTTTCATAAAATTAGAAAAAGAAAAACAAAATAAGAAATATTCGAAATCAAAAACTTCATTATGTTAATATTGATATGCAATTTTTTGAATGTAAACTTATAAATAAATATTGAATAAAATTATAAATGTTATGTATAATATGATTCCGTATTTTCATAAGTGTTTTTGTGATTTACAGTAATAATTTTTGATATTGAATTTTTATTTGATATTAAATTTGAAGAAAGATTTTCGATGTAAGTGAAGATGATGGATCATATTTGAGTTGAAATATCATGTTATATTTTCATAGCATGTCTAAATCTTGATAATCACATTTCAATGAATGATTCCAATGCCTAGATCCGTAAATTTCTGCTGGAAACCAATATTAAACACGCAGTTCTCAGTCGAAAAATGATAAGAACTTGAAGTAAATATCCGATGATGGTATCGGATTTCGGGCTATAAATTGACGGAATATGTCGAAAAGGAAAACGTAGAAGATGAAGATACCGAAGAGTTAGAATGAATAGAAAAATAAGATAAAAATCTGTTTGTAGTTTTAATAGTTTTTCTTTTTTTCCACATATTTAAATAAAATATCTCAATATTATTTCTTAATCAGAAAACTTTCTTTTTCGATATTTTGCTCTTCAAAGTTTGCTTACAAATCCACCGAATCTGTTCGAGTTATGGTCGACTGTAGCCAGAACTAGGATGATTATAAGCCTAGTAAAGACTTACTCATAGTTCACATTTTCTTGTCTAATTGGAAAGTTGTTTCAATTCAGTATTATACTGATTTCGATATCTTATCAAAGGTTAATTCTACTTGAGTTGAATACATTACGTTTATGTAAAAAAAATTGTTTCACATGTAAGATGTACATTGTTTGAATGTACTGATAGAGCATATATTAGGCGAGATAACATTCAGAATGATAATTACGGCTATGCATATTTTTTGCTATGATGGCTGTGTACGATTATTAACGAAAATTAAACGAACTATATTTTCTCGTAATTCCTATTAGTAATTCAGGTCATGTATGCACGCTTGTAAACGATCGTTTTAAACGTTTTTTTTCTCGCCGCTTGGTAATCACATTGTGCACAACATAATAAAATACAATCGTAAGGCTGCAATTCTCAATTTACAGCTATTGATGACCGAAAATTATATGAAATGATCATATACTGTTCCGTATTTGGATGTCTCGGCGACTGTAATTATCGTAACAGGATAATACAACACAATAAACGATATTATATTTTTGTTGTATATGTCTCGTAATTTCATTATGTCACCGGCAGATTTCATCGACTAACAGTACGACTCGTTCACGTACCGTATTCATCAGTCTGTATATTTAGAACAATTAAGTAAACACAGAGAAAAGATCAGATTGTGAAAGAAGGAATACAATATTCGTATTCGGTTCTAGTCACTTCGGATGAAAAACAACAAAATCCAGTTATCGTGTTCGATTATCAAACTCAATAGCTTGAAATTCGTATAACTTAATTCAGATTTGTCATAAATATCTTGTATTTTAATTATTTAAGTTTGACAATGAAAGTGATTATTTTGATCTGAATATGATCAATCATCTCTCAACTTATAATACAAATCTTATCATTGTTACAATAAGTTTTATTGTAAAAAAAAATCATCAAAAGTATATGATATCGTGTAAAATGATGTTTGAAATTAATCCAGTAGTTTATCAATGCGATTTATTAATCGATGAATCAGTACATTCAAAAGATATTCCTAATTGAATTACTACATATTCGAAAAATGATTACAAAAAAAATTTTTTCGATCAAGGAACACTAAAAGCCAATATATTTAATCTTCTACGAACTGTTTGATATAATCATTCTTTTTTCTGATACCCATTTCACAACAATATATAGTCATTGAAAATGAGGAATGTATTCAAATAGATGACATGATTCTTGTAAACTACAATTTACATGTTCAACAGATAGATGTTTGAATAATCATAATTCAAATGATAATAGATAAGTTTTTGTAAACTACAAACTCTTAATCTGAAATGTGGATAATGATAGTGTGAAATGTAGATGATCATCATGAATACGATTTTAAATGATTGAAGGAAATCGAAAATAAAATAAACGAAAAGTTCAGATGAATGTGAAGTTTCATTCGATCACTGTATTCAAATAAATCGATCAATGATTAATATTCGATTTTATTCACAAAAAAAAAAAATATCAAAATCATGTTTTTATATCATTTAAAAATTAATATATCTTCAAAATTAACTTAGAATAAATTGATAAAAATGCCTATTGAGACTAAATAAACGTACGAAAACAAAAAAAAATACATGAAAGTATTTAACAAGATTCAATACGAACTTGTTCAATAATATTTTCAACATCAATTTTCATGTCTCTTATCTGCAATGCCACAAGAATATTCTAAAATACAGTCAACTCAATATCACAACAGTAATGATACGAATCAATTTTTTTCGTCACTACATTACCAATAAAAAAAAAAATATCTCAGACTACTATTTCAAAGATCATTGTAACTTTAATAAAAAAAAACACCTATGATTTCTGTCAAAGAGTTTGTTCCATAGTAATTCTTTTACGATCCTACAAGAGATGTATTTTTTTTTTCTTTCATCAATCAGTCTCACTAGCTAGAAAAAATGAAACAAACTCGAATAATAAAAATGATGATAAAAAAACCATAAAAATTTAAACAATAATCAAGAATAATATACAATGCTTGGGTTTGTTATAATGATACCCTACAAAGTGTTTTTCTTCTTCAACAAAACAATCTTCCATTGGTCTAATTTTGTGTATAGTTTGAATGAGTAAGATTCGATGTAGGTCACCTAAGACTTATTTATAAGATATTATGAGAATAAAGTTACAATAAACTTTTGCTTCCAGAAAATTAAACTCAAAAACATAACAACTATTCAACTGGTGTTTTTTTTTTGTTAGTTTGAATAGAACGTCAATGAGTAATCGAAGTAGATTAAAATAATTTGATTCATTAGCTATAACATGAATAGAGAAACTATTATGTCTGAACAATTTTCAAAAATATGTTTAAAAGAAAAAAATACATGCAAATTATTGAGATAAGACTCGTATTTTTTTTTTGTTATTAATGTTCATTCGATTAGAATGATGATTTTTGTAATATTTCTTTTTACGTAGATTTTTTCTTTGATTGAATATGTAAATCAATTTGTTTCTCATATGAAACTCTTCATTTACAAATATTATAATTATATTACTTGCTTTATATTTCTGTATTGCATTTATATTTTAATGAGGAAAAAAAAACGAAAGGAAGCAGATATGATTGAAATATATAAAAAGCAGAGAAAAAAAAATTTTTATTTTATTTTCATTTGTTTACTTGCTAATCTAATAATCACATCCATAGGATTTATTTCATTTGAAACAATATTTCGAATAATGACAAAATTTTTTACACTTTTTCTCATATTATTTTTTGTTCAAATTATTAATGGAATTCATTTTTATGGTGGAACAATCAATTGGTCACCAATAAATAATCATACAGTTGAAATAAATGACACACTAACAATTATTATTGTACAACGATATGCATGGTCAAGAAACACTAGAACTAGTGCATGTACAACATCAACAATTTTATCACATGATTTAATTGGAGATGTTTCAAATAATATTCTCACTTGTTTATCGGATTCAACAATATGTTCAAAAACCAATTTTACTCACAATATTTCAAGTTTAGTTCCATGTACTGATTATAATACTATGTTAGACATATCTTTTGGTAGTAGACAAACATCGGTAGATTTTAATGTGTTAACGAATGGTCTTATTATTGGTTACAAATCTTCGAATGATGGTTGGATACCTTTACAAATAGGTGGTGGTCATTGGAGTTTAGTTATGTATCTTAATTTACAAAAACGTCCAGATAATGGTTTGGTAAATCATTCACCAACATCAACAATGCCAATAGTAAATTATGTATCGATTACTGACAATACAATAATATCTATTAATATACCGATGAGTGATAGTGATGGAGATATAATTCAATGTCGTTTTGCAAAATCAAATAATATATTAAATGGAATCCTTGTAAATGAATGTCATGGTGCTTGTTCTACTATTGCACTTCCACCATCAGCACAACTGATTTCAATCAATAATACATGCACACTTCATGTCAGTCTATCATATCCTGGCAATTATGTAGTAGCAATTCAACTAGAAGATTTTCTAGAAAATCCTACTTATATACTCAGTTCAATACCATTGCAATTTATTTTAATAGCAGTTGACACTTCAAATTCATCCAATAATTGTTATCTTCCACCGACTATTATCGATATTCAACCTGATTCTCCTCCACATGATTCTACCATAACCATTCAAATGAATGTTCCATATAAGTTTACTGTTATTGCTCAAATAGGTTGTTTCAATAATACAGAAATAAATATTACAAATTTTATAACATCAAGTCCACACGGTATGCTCAAAGCAGAATATCCATATGCATTATCATCAACATTGTATGCTATTGATCATACGTGGACGCCAACAAGTGATCAATTATATCAGACATTTACTTTTTGTACTGTAGCTATTGATAATAATTTTTATTCATCAAATCAATATTGTTTCAATTTATTTGTTGATTATAAAATTAACGTAAGATCATATGAATCAATCACATTTAATCCAAAATTAGCAATAAGAATTTTACAGAAACGACAAGTATTGCAACCGCGATCGGGCATACTAGAAACAACAACCACAACAACAACTACAACAACGACAACAGATACTACAACAACAGAAACAACAACAACAGAAACAACAAGTACAACAACAACAACAGAAACAACAACTACAACAACAACAACAGAAACAACAAGTACAACAACAACAACAACAACAGAAACAACAACTACAACAACAACAGAAACAACAAGTACAACAACAACAACAGAAACAACAACTACAACAACAACAACAGAAACAACAACTACAACAACAGAAACAACGACTACAACAACAACAACAACCTCCAGAACAACCAAAACAACAACAACCACCACAACTTCCGTTACAACTGCCACCAGTAGTATGTTTATTCTAACATGAAAAATTAATATTTATTGATTTTCTTTGTTTAGCTACGACAATCGCAACTTCCAATAATATTTCCTTAGTTCTTGGTCTTGCTCTTGGCTTAGGCTTACCTTTATTAATTCTCTTAAGTGTTTTAATTTTATGTTATTGTTGTAGTTCTTGTCTTGTTCCTCTCAAGGCAATACTACGTGTTCGATATGGTAATCGTACTGAACAAATCTTACAAGAACAAAATAAATTCTTCAATCAAAAAATTACTCATAAGTCTGAAAATCAAGACTTTAATAATAGAAATGATTATCAATTACAAAATATTAATGACGTTACTGTTGATTCTACCAATATGTTAGTAGCATCGAATGAAAAACCACAAATTTTACCATTAAATGATTCCAATAATGACGATCATTATTCACGATTTGAACTTGATCCATGGACAATAACGACAACATCTTTTCCATCACCTTCTTTCAATCATCTTCCGACAGATCCTGTCATGGAAAGAAATGCACCACCATTAATACATCCAATAATATCTCAAGTACAAGCTTCAATTCTTGTAGAAGCCTATCACAAACAACAACAACAACAGCCTGAAGAATAATAAAACATATTTTTAGATTTCATAGTTAAAATTTAGTTGATTGTTAATAATTTTAATAATATTCTATCTTAAATAACTTCGATTATTATTCTAAAGAAGCTCAAATTTTTTGATATTTCTCGTTCTTCAGTCCATATATAATTCATTTGACTTTCTAAAAAGAAAAAGAAAATTTCAAATCATTATAATATTTATGTCGAGACAAAAACAACAAAGGAATGTTAGATTATATATTATTAAAATGTTGAACTTTATCCTGTGTTTCTTTTCTTCATATAATATTCTTTCATTATAAACATCTTTATGTCTGTATTTATTAGATTGAACTAATATTATAGAATATCAGTCGCCAATGTCATTGCTTTAAATATTCTTTGTCTTTTGAAATATATAAATTCAGTTCATGTCAACATAGTTAAAAACAAAAACAAATGTCACACAACGTAATCATTATAGATGATTGTAGATGCATGCTTTAACATAAAAATGTATGTAATGAGAAACTTTCTTTTTGTCTTGTAGTAATTATAATTAAAACTGAAGATAATTCAAAGAAAAATCATGACAAAAAAAGTCTTTCAACAAAAAGCATAAAACTGTAGTATTTTAATGACAATTACAGGCCGAAATTTTCATGTCTTGTTTTTGTTTTTGTGCTTTTATATTTCTTTTTTGTATAAAAGAGAAGATATCTATTATGAGTTCTATCTATAATCGTATAGAGATCACGATATACTACAATTATTTCTATTCTAAAAGCAGGTAACTAAAAATAAATCATTTTAAGAATATATAACTTTTGTCTTATCTTGATTTTATTTTGTCACTATCACATGTTTATTTGTATTTCATCTTATACTCTTACATTATACCATAAATATCATTTAGTTTATATCGTTTTGGTTAGTTGTTCTTATTAATTTAACAAAAAAAATTGAGATATATTGTCAAAACGAACACGAAAAGGTTATTAAAACCGTTCGAAAAGTGCTTTGAAATGGTTTTTGATACGCATATTAACAACGGATCTTGTTAATATAATAATAAATTATATGTAAATGACATATAAATCTAAAGGAATAGGCAAAGAGAAAGGAGCAAACGACGATGCAGATGATCCTATCAATATTGAAACAAAATAATTATAAAAAATTCTATTACATGAAAAAAAAAAAAAGTTCAGATAATGTTTCTGAATTTAGTGATACGAGAAGTAGATAGTCATTGGAGATGCTTTTTTGCTCATATTAAATCATTTCTTATATATACCATGTAAATAAGTTTCAAAAGTTAACAAAGTAATGTCACCTTATTTTTTTTTCTCTTTCATATGTTTCTCATATGGTTACTTGAATAATCTGTTGGTATTGTTATCGTATTACGTAACTTATATAATCCTGCAGAAAATATCGCAATATGGTGATATAGTAATACATAGTTGGTTCACTAGAAATGATCAAACAATCATCACTCGAAGTTTATCGCTAAAATACTGTATTTTTTTAATTTAAAACATAATCTATTACTGAGACAAAGTTATTGAACTTCAATAATAGGTCAAAAAAGAAAAAGAAACTTCTTTTTTACTTCGATACAAGATTCTATGTATATTATCTAACAAGGAAAGTCTCTCAACTAATTAATCATTTTTGATTCAAGACTCTCTGAATTATGTAAACCGTAATGAGTTCTGAATATTCTAAAAAGAGTTCAGACCTATGTCTTATTACTGCGATGCATGAAAATCATTCCCTGTCCAATTTTCTCCTATGCTCAAAAAAACTGCTTGACTTCGTCAAATCCAATCAATTTTAGCAAAACTTCTTCAATCGGTTTTCTGAGTAATCGTCCTCTTCTTCACCAATCCTAGCGCATCACTGTTTTTTATGGTTTTTTTTAACTCAATGCTTTGGTTTCCTTCAGCAAAACTACTTCTCGATTTTCAACTTGAAACTTTACATAAAGATAAGTTTTAATGACAATAGTTTATTATAGAAATCTTAGATCTTTTATATCGCTCATATACATCGATAGATGCGATGTTCTTATTTCAAAATAGAAGCAAATCAAAAGATTTGAAACTTTTCCAACAAACTATTTTCGTTAAGATTAATCTCTACACAAAGTGTCAAGTTAAAATTCGAAAATCAATTGTCTTAGTATTTCTGAGGACTCTAACATTCAGTTTAAAAATATTCTATATTGTTGAAGCATTTCTAAAACCCATAAGCTAAGAATCTAAGCTCTTTTCAAAATGGCCATAATTGATTAGAGTCTCCATAATTCACATAACTTTGATTAAAAAACAATTAATCAGTTGAAAGATTTCCTTTGTAAGTGTATAATAAGTATTTCCAGTAACGAAGGACAAAGAAATAATATCTGTATATAACGCAGCATGAAATGTCAGAAAGCTTAATGATTTATTCATCTAATATAGATAGATATAATAGATTCAAAAAGAAACATATTCATTAAAAGTTTATAATTTAAAGATAAAGGTGTATTTTAACCAATAGTTTCTCGTATTATAATTTATTATTTTCAAGAGTTTATTAGAAAAAAAAACCATGACAAAATACTGAGTGCCATCTAGTATATACCTTTGAGTGAAGCAGCTATTTATGATGAGTTATATATCTGAACGCAAAGCGAATGTCTTCGTAGAGAATTATATATTTGATGAGAATACACTATACTGAGTTCTTCAGAAGTATTCATTTTCTTATTGTTTTTTTTTAATCCTATTTACAAGTCTTTGCAATCGTCAAACTAAATTAGCCATTAGTTCGTCATTGTTGAACGTACTTGCAATTCATAAAATCTATCTTTTCATAGTTATGATTCTATAAAGAGCAATTAGAATATTTTATCTTTTATGAATGAATCTGTAGATCTCTACTACGTTATGCTCGATGTTTTTTGACATGTAAAATATGAAAGGATATCAAAATAATCAATCGTATTCTTAATGATATAGAATATTGACATCATAAAAATATCATATTTAAAATATTAATATTCATTGTTTAACTTTTTTTTGTTTTTTAGATTACTACTAATATATGTTTTAATATTTAGTGACGAGCATATTAATCAATCCGAAATGACAATCATAGGTGATAATAATACTATTTTAAATTCAACATCGTTCAATCAAAATAAACTGCCTAATTATTCAGTTGGTTTTTGGATTTATCTCATTATGTTTATTTTATCGATTTGTTGTTCTATATTTATATTTTTACAATTTATCTTCAAACGTACATTGAGAACAAACATCAATAATCATGTTGTTTTGGCTGTACTGATTTCCAGTTTTTTACAGGTAAACGATACTTAAGAATAAAAATAGAAATGTATTGATTTGAAAATCTTTCTAAAAAGATTTGCAAAAATCTCAGGAAATAAAAGCTGTTAGTGCAATCATTACGAAATTAGAATGTGTAATACTATGCAGTAATAGCTGTTGTTAATTACAAGGAGATTATTTTATTCTATCTATTTTGGAATGCATTTCTTCACTATCCTCTTATTTAGTCGTCGAGAAATGCAATTAGGAAGTAATTGATATACGTTCTTTAATCAATTTTTAACAAAGTCTGTAACAAATAAGAGACGTTTCTAAAGATATCTGTTATGTCTTCGAGGGAAGGAGCACAGAATGCATCTAGGTGAATATTTAGCTAAAGTTTTTTTTTTACAATTTCGTCCGAATATTTAGTTCCCTCAAAAATGGGCAATCTACTCACATCGAACCTTCAAGAATGTTCTTCTATCTATTGTTTCTAATCTCTGTTAGTTCAAACATTTGCTAGTCTTCACGATGGACTTCTAAAAAGCTTAGGTTTTCGGATATTTTTTTTGACATTGAAAAATATTTAATTGATAAAAATAGTATGTTCGAAATTAGTGCATTAAACTACGTTGAATGATATAAAATATAGAGCAATGTTCTTGAAAAAAATGAGAGCACGATCGCCTCCTCAGGCATGCTTCATTGAAAAACTTTTTTTTTCTAAAAAACTTTCCGACGTCATATTCCATCATTTTTAATTAAGAAAGTCAGAAATCTATCCGCCATGCTAAAAATACACACTTGAAAGAATCTAAATTTCTACCCATATACTTCAACACTGCACTTAGATTGTGTTTCACAAAAGTTTCGCTTGTGAGTTTCCTTTCATAAAACTGACAAGACAAAAATTCTATTAAATTAATTTTATTGATAAATAGTAACGATGATTGAGATTAATATAATATGATATTATAGGTAATCAGTGAATTACCACTTGTTTTGGTTTATTTTCGAACAAATATTGCTTTAATTCCATCGGATACATTTTGTGCAATATGGTGTTATGTTGATTATGTATTTAATGTTATTATTCTTCTGCTTATATGTCATGCATCAATTGAACGTTATTTACTTGTATTTCATCATCTATTTATTTATCGTCATTTAATTTTACTTCATTATTTACCAATAATTTTTTCTATTATTTATCCATGTTTATTTTATTTTGGATTTATTTTTTTCTATCCATGTATCAGTCAATATGATTATACAAAAATAACTTGTCAAGGACCTTGTTATCTTTTTGAACGTATACCTGGTTCAATTGATTTATTAATTAATCTTGCATTACCATTATTTATTTCTATATTAAGTAATATATTTCTACTTAGTCGAGTTGTTCATCAAAAACATCGTATGAAACAACAACAAAAATGGAAGAAAAATCGACGGCTTGTTATTCAATTGATATCAATTGTTATTGTTCATAATTTAATTTGGCTTCCTATTATAATTTGTCTTTTAATTGAACTTTTTTCTCCCATAGTAGACCAAGTTCTTATTGATTTAAGTGTTAATCTTTTTACATATTCTATTTATATTGCTATTATGATTTGTCCATTTGTTTCATTACTTGGTCTTCATGATATAGGACGACAATTCTTTTCACAAACTTCAATATCCAACAAAATTTTAAATATAA